ACTTAATTAGTTCCAACATATTGATCCTTTCTTGAATATTTAAAACATATAAAAAAGACCTATTATAATTAAGCAAAAATTAAACCTCGAAATGTTGATAGATCTATACGTTTTAAAAGCCTGGAATCTATTTAAACTATTATTGGTATGCTAGACGTGATTTTCTTTAAATGTACGTCATTTTTACTTGTAAACTTAGAATTTCTTTCGTCAAGAGTCAGAAACATCAGTATGCTGGAATTACTCTAGTTTAGCGATGCCCAATATAAGTTACAAAACAGTAAAAGTTCAAATCATAACATGTGAATGATATTCTTTAACATACATTGAACAAACAGTTAAACTTGTAGTATACATAGATTAACATTTTCGCCAAAAAGAACGCTGAAAACACGTTGTAACATTTTTGAGAACGTTAAGTGCAAGGTACTTCAGCTAATTGCATTAAAATGTAGCAGTGATGGCAACAAGGACAATATTTATCCCATAAACTTAATTATTCAGTTACTTTTTCTGTCAAGATGAAAGTCTATCACTACAGTTCGGAATATCTGTCCTTTGGTTTTACTTTTCTGTCCCTAGAAACTGTTAGGTCGAGATCGCAGTGCTATAAATGATCTATGAAATCAGCTAAATTAAGGAACTATTTTAAAATGAAGCACCTAAAGTGTCAACAAGAAACTATTGATTATTAAGGTAGAAAGAACAACAATTCCAAATTATTTAAAGCAATGTGCCAGATATTGTCATACAAGGCTCAAATATAGCAGCCACAATGGTCTTCTTTAAGAAATCCCAACTCATAACTCAAAAAGGTAAACCACATATTACTGCCATCAATGCTTGGTGGAAAGCTGAAATTACACAAATACACTGTCAAAGGAGTATAAAGGAGAAAGCTTGGCAGGTAACATTAAAGAGGAATTAATAGAAAGAGTACGTGGTCCTGCTTGGTTTTCCATACAGCCAGATTATCTATTCTAGATGTATCTAGTCGGGCAGTTTTATTGTATTTCATGTAGTACAAGCACAAATATACCAACAGCATAAGAATTTTTTGAAAAATTAAATTCGCTTTTGCCCAATCTTATCTCTCTGAAAAATATTTTCCAAAAAGTACCTCTTTCAGGAGACTTTCCCTTTCTTGACAAAAGCACAACATAAATTCATAATACATAATAATTAATATAAGAGTTAACAAAATATCGAAAAATTAACAAAGTACAAGCAGACATGTACGAGGCTATTCATAAACTGAGGGAAACAGTACTCGTCTGAGTAAGAGAGGAAAAACGAAAGTGGTTAATATCAGTCTATCTGCGGTTCTCGTCATTCGAAGTATGGGGAACTCCAGAAAGCCTTGGTTCGAGGATTCGGAGTAAAGAACAAAAAGTCAAAAACAGTAAACATGCATGTTAATACCACTGAAGAGTGAAGGCGAATCACATATATTATGTAGAAGCTTAAAGAAGAAGAGTACATCACCACAGGGTAATAAATAGGGGACTAAGGGTCATAAATAGTGATGGAACGGATAGTGATTTTGCAAAAAGCCGGATATTCGGTATCCCCTTTGGCCGGATATCCACTTGATCTATCAGGCCATTATGGTTATAATTTCTGGTGCATTTCTGAAATGATACCCTGTATTGCCACATTATTGCGATATTTGAATAAAAATGAAATTAATAAGAAAGCTGATAAGATATGTCAACTTATTTGGATACAAGATACGCAATGAACTTTTTTGATGCCGATTTAACTAATGAAGCAACTCTAAAAAGAGGCGAATTTTGAAAATTATTAATGAAAATTGCAACATCGAAAATTTGATCAAAACTTCAAATATTGTTTTCTCAAAAACTGAAAGTAATTTTTCAAAACGTGTTGGTTCATTGGAAGGAGGCATTCTTATTAATACTTTGGGAAATTTTCATACTCATATTCCAAGAACTGGAAACAGAGAGAAAGACATTTATTCCAGCTTATCACAATACAATTAAAAATTAAATAACTTTAAAATTAAATTATTATACAATGTAAACTGAAAGTTAAATTAGAAGCTAGAACGGGCTACCGACCGTGGTCCTTCTGCCCATGTTACACAAATTAGTCATCTTTTAGGAATCCACGATTTTGTTGTAAATAGTGTCAAAAATTGAGGATTGAAAAAGAGGAGAAGGGTTTGAGGACATATTTTTGAAAGCTTTTTGTGCGAGGAGAGATATTCGTTGAGTAATGGGAATAATTTAGAATTTTCCATAGAGGAGTTTGTTACATGGGTTGAATAGGGGATTTCTGGGGTTTCGAAGTTTGGATATTATTCTAATTGCTGATCTTTCTGCTATTTCTAGATGCGATGTTGCCTTTTTGCTGATATTAAGGAAGATGGGAGTTCCGTAATCAAGAATAGGTCTGCAAATTGTTTTATAAATATGTATCGTACATTTAAAATTTATGCCATTGAAAGGTTTTTTAAAAAAAGACCACTTTTCCTCCGTAATTGTTATAAATTAATCAATCTGAGACGTTTCGGGAACACCTCCCATCTTCAGTCTACAAATAGTCACTCGTAATATTATCTACAAAAAACCACAACAAAAGACCATAAAAATCTCAAACCACACAAAAAAATACAAAAATTAATCGGTGTCGAATGTTAAAAAAGTTTACCTCTAATCTTGATATGATGATTAAAAAAAAAAAAAACAATATTTTAAAATTACTTTGCATACATGTATGTGCGTCACATTGTACAACTGTTTTGAAATACCATTGTACGAAGTTTCAAGGTTAATTTTACTACCCAAAAACTGGATTTATGCCATTGTTCTTATAAGTAAGACATCTAAATTGCTTTGCACGTGCTTTGACTTTTATTTTAACCTTTTTCGTCAAGAACTGGATTTTGTACGAATTTTTACAACTTAATCGGCGAAAATTGTAAAATTCGAAAAAATTGTCGATTATTTCAAGAATTGAAATTGATTTCTCAAGAACTAAAAGTGATTTTTCAAAACTGCTTGTTGCATTAAAAAGAGGATACTTTAATTAATAATTGGCCATATTTCCACAAGGATCCTTCAAGAAATGAATTTTATAGCGAATTTTGAAAATATCGATGAAAATTGCAACATCGAAAATTTTATCAAAACTTCAAATATTGTTTTCTCAAAAACTAAAAGTTATTTTTCAAAACGGGTTGGTTCATTGGAAAGAGGACACTTTTATTAACACTTTGGGAAATTTTCATACTCATATTCCAAGAAATCGATTTTATACGAATTTTTAAAACTTAATCGGCGAAAATTGGAAAATTCGAAAAAATTGTCGATTATTTAAAAAATTTATTTCTCAAGAACTAAAAGTGATTTTTAAAAACGGCTTTTTGCATTAAAAAGAAGATACTTTAATTAATAATCGAAAGTGATAACAACGGCAGTTCTGTTAGTAATGAATGTGATGATGAATTACAAGCGAAAAGAAGAAAACTAGACGAAACTGCGACAAGAGATTTTATATATCGTATTGGAATTGTTACAATAAGGTTGTTAATGACAAACCTGATATACATAAAGTTGTATTCGATGAAAAATGTCTTATTGGGGTTGAACTTGATTATTATCTGCAGTGTCCAACACCTAAAAGTAACTAATTCCTGTGAATGGTAGAGTATTGAATCCACTGGCTGTGGATCTCTTCACAAAACCTAGCGTTCACCAAGCTTAATATCAAATTGATATGTATGTCAAATAATAACTCATAAGAAGTTGAAGAAATAAGGATCGGGGTGCTACATAAAAGTCACGTCAAGATCCTTAATGGATGTTTAACGGTTGATCTTCACCAGCAAACGTATAATTGTAATTGCAGATAGTACTCATATCTTCCAATCTCTCAAAATTCTCAAAACTGCAAATCGCATTTAAAGAGAAAATCCTAGCTGACTTTTGGGCTTACGTTCGCAATAAATTGCCTCATTTAATAACCAAAGCCGTCCAAACTTTAATTCCTTTACCAACCACATGTCTGTGAGAGCAATATTTTGCATCACCGTTCCAAGTAATAAATGCGGTTGGTAATGGAAGGCAATGGAATGCTGAATTTCGTGTCGAATTGTCAAAAAATATAAAACCAAATTTCGAAAAACTTGTATCAGAAATGCGTGTTCACCATTTACACTAAATCCAGTTTTTAGCATATCTTAAAGTATTAATTTTTAGCTCAAAAACTACTTGTATATGATCGATAACTACGGTATAAGTAGTTGGAGTAGATCTGTTTGTTCCAAATCGATACTAAGCAGTAGTTAGAACAAAATTTACCTCCAGAAAGTGGACGAAATGTTTTTACCACGGAATATTTTAAAAATAAGAAATACTTACCCGCCAACAAGTCAAACATCTGCTGGGTCACTATCACTATAATAAATAAACGAGTAATAATGCACAAAGAAATTGTGATTTTCTTTTACCATATTAATAATTCTTGTTTCATTATTATTGGTATTAAAAAAACAGCAATAAATTTTTGGTGATGATATTTATTGCAACATCCACTACTTTATAACAATTATTTATTAAAAAGTGCACCTTAAACTTACGTGAAGTACAAAAATTGGTCCTTGTTAACCTAGCGTTTATATATTATTTTTAATATACAGAATGTTTTATTGAGGTTGGTTAAATCCCAAATAAAACGACATACAACTAAACAATATCATGAAGTGATTTACTAACAATAAAATAATATATCTCTACATATAATATTTTTACTTCTATTATAATTTTTGTTACCTTAATTAAACATCCTGTAAATACATATTTTTTTTAATTTTTAGTGCTTGCTTTTGCAAAAAAAAACGGGGATGTTATTGTACTTTATTTACAATCGTTAGCTATTTCTATTGATACGAATTACCCAAGCACAGCGTTTCAAGCTTTTCACCTTGATAATAAGTTTTTTTTCTTGTAATTATACAAAAACAAAGTCCACAAAAATTAAGTTTTTCTTTGGCACATGGTTTACAAACGAATTACCTCGAAATTGCAACTTGTCAAGTGCCAGTCCTGATATGGCCCCCAAAAAATTATTCTTAAAAATATTTCCGACCAGCGGAGTGAATCTATTTTGTACTCAAAATCTAAATTTAATTAATACATTTCTTTAAAATTAGTGTTTTTTTTTTTGATAACTTTTTTTTTAATTTTTACTTAACATATAAAAATACCCACTAAAATACTGACAATATTTCTTCTCGAATTATAATTTTGTTCGTTTATTTTTCATTTAATTTTTTTTTTAAAGGCACAACGATCTTACATAATCTTTTATGTAATGTAACTCTAATTATAAACCTTAATAAAGACAATATCACAATTTCTAAATCACCAAACAGTCCTCAACATCCTCGTCTTCATATATGATTTGTTGCATTTAAACCCCCATATAATTGCCGAATATTATCTTGTCTATCAGCATCTAAATCAGCATATTTATTTTTTAAAACCCCATTAGCAACTCCAATAACCATTTTAGGTCCATGACCATTAGCTATTTCTTTAACACCATTAGAAACACTGTGACTAATCGTTTCGATTGCTGTCGGTTCTAAATCATGAACGATGGTATCTCCATTAGCTATGTGGCCGTTTGATATGGTTCCATTTGACATTGCGTGACCATTTGGTGTTGCGTTCACATGGTTTGTGGTGGAAATTCCGTTTGGTAAGCCGTTTAAGACCCGATTTCCCGTTGGTACGTGACTTTTACGTGGTGCTTTACCTGTTATATAATCTACGTGGTCTTTTACTACCTGCTTAAAGTCGTTTTGGACGTGTGGAAATTCTGTGTCACCGTCTACCTAAAATAAGAAGTAAATTACTTCCTCAAGAACAATAAACCTAAGTGGAACTGTGTGATAAAATGCATGAAGTGAATGTTAAAACTAACAATAAGATGAATGGAACAAAACTTTATTCATAAAACTATTATTCTTTTGTATTTCAACACAGTTTATCGATTAAATTGTCACTTTTCAATGCTGAAGTAATTATTGTCTAAAGTCAATACTGTCCTAAATTACATACGTTTAGCTTCTTTTATTGTTGTTTATGTGGTATGTTTTCCTTTAAAAGTAAGGATCATTATTTGTTTAGTTGTAATTATAGAAGATTACGTGCAAAACTACTGTTTAAGTTATTAAATTAAAGTGTATATACCTGACAATTCAAATTTTCACTTAAATCCTACAAAAGTCTTTCAAACTAATTTACATTTTAGACTTGCAATCAACCTTTGCATGCAATCACAACGTTATTACTTCATTTATTTTATGATATCGCGTTTAAGCATTAAATATAGGGATTAGGTAAAGTTTATCGGTGTAATTATGTATTAAAAGAAATATAAATAAAACTTACTATAGTTAATCTTCCAATATTATCCATAGCTTTTAACATCGGTAAAGTGGATTGACGAAAAACTTCTAATCGTCTTCTAAAAGCCGTGATGCTATCATCCAATTTTCCTCTTCCTAATTGAAGTTTTGAACAATCCAACAGGATAACAGTTGGTTTTTGTTTAAACTGAAAAAACACAAAATTTTACAGTAAAACCTCGATATAATGCACACAAATCCGTTTCGTTAAGTCGGCTTTATATTTATAGCTATGACGGTAGAATAAGAGGTTTGCTACATCCAGGGAATAAGTGTACAACCCGTTCGTGACGTCACGCTTAAGTAAGCAACACACTTCAAAATTTGGAGTTAGGTTGAGAGCATTGATATAAAGCTATACAATTATCAAAAATATATTTGCTAATTAAGCCACCCCATTTTTAATGATATATACACTAATTACGTCGAGGTCGCTTGCGGGCGAGGCGCTACATCCATGCCATGTTGATATAAAACGATCCAATTTTCTAGGATGTATGAATTAATTACGCCGAGGTCACTTGCTCGCGAGGCGCTGCATCAATGCTATATAGATACAAAATTAACACATTTTCAAGGATGTCGGAGGTCGCTTGTGAGCGAGGCGCTACATTGATGCCATGTTAATAGAAAACTATACAACCTTCAAGGATATATTTCCTAATCAAACCGAAGTCGCTTGCGGGCGAGGCGTTATATCACACAAGATTTTACATCGTATCAAAAACTACAATCTTTAAGCTCCAATTTAACATACATATCATATCATGCGGCTTAAAAACGCAATCAAAATGATTTTCTGAAAATTTCGTATTACTTTTTATTTATAAATTTGATAATTTCCTCTTTAATAACTTTTTTCTAGAAATTCCAATAATATTATCTTATAGTTTCTATATCATATCATAAACAGGAGTCTTTAAGCTCCAATTTAACATACATATCATATCATGATTCTTGAAAATACAATTATTATGATTTTTTGAAAATTTCGTATTACTTCTTGTTTATAAACTTGACAATTTCTTCTTTAATATTTTTTTCTAGAAATTTCAATAATATTATCTTCTAGTTTTTATATCATATCATAAACTAGAATCTTTAGGTTAAAATTTAACATACATATCATGTGATGATTCTTAAAAACACAGCCAATATGATTTTTTGAAAATTTCGTATTACTTTTCAATTATATTCCTGTAGCTTCCTCTTTAACAATTTTTTTTTAAATGTCAATAATATTATCTTATACTTTTTATATCATATCATAAACTAGAATCTTTAAGTTCCAATTTAACATACATATCATGTGATGATTCTTAAAAATACAGTCAATATGATTTTTTGAAAATTTCGTATTACTTTTCAATAGTATTCTTGCAGCTTCTTCTTTAACAATTTTTTTCAAGTAATTTCAATAATATTATCTTATAGTTTTTATATCATATCATAAACTAGAATCTTTAAGCTCCAATTTAATATGCATATCATATCATTATTCTTAAAAATACAGTCAATATGATTTTTTGAAAATTTGGTATTACTTTTCAATTATATTCTTGCAGCTTCTTCTTTAACAATTTTTTTCAAGAAATTTTAATAATATTATCTTATAGTTTTTATATCATATCATAAACTAGAATCTTTAAGCTCCAACTTAATATACATATCATGTTATGATTCTTAAAAATACAGTCAATATGATTTTTTGAAAATTTCGTATTTCTTTTCATTTAAAAACTTGACAATTTCTTCTTTAATAAGTTTTTTTCTAGAAATTTGAATCATATTATCTTATAGTTTTTATATCATATCATAAACTAGAATCTTTAAGCTCCAATTTAACATATATATCATATCATGATTCTTAAAAATACAGTCAATATGCTTTTTCGAAAATTTCGTATTACTTTTCATTTATAAATTTAATAATTTCCTCTTTAATAATTTTTTTCTAGAAATTTCAATAATATTATCCTATAGTTTCTATATCATATCATAAACTAGAAATTTTAAGCTGCAATTTAACATACATATCATATCATGATTCTTAAAAATACAGTCAATATGGTTTTTTGAAAATTTCGTATTACTTTTCATATATATTCTTGTAGCTTCTTCTTTAATAATTTTTTTCCAGAAATTTCTATAATATTATCTTATAGTTTTTATATCATATCATAAACTAGAATCTTTAGGCTCCAATTTAACATACATATCATATCATGAATCTTAAAAACGCAGTCAATATGATTTTTTGAAAATTTCTTATTACTTTTCATTTATAAACTTGACAATTTCTTCTTTAACAATTTTTTTCTAGAAATTTCAATAATATTATCTTATAGTTTTTATATCATATTATAAACTAGAATCTTTAAGCTCCAATTTAACATTCATATCATATCATAATTTTTAAAAATACAGTAAATATGATTTTTTGAAAATTTCGATTACTTTCATTTATATTCTTACAGCTTCTTCTTTAACAATTTTTTTATAGAAATTTCAATAATATCATCTTATCGTTTTCATATAATATCATAAACTAGAATCTTTAAGCTCCAATTTAACAGACATATTATATCATGATTCTTAAAAATACAGTCCGTATCATTTTTAAAATTTTTCATGTTATTTCTGATTTACATATATATTTGACAATTTCTTGTTCAATAATTTTTTCCAGCAAATTCCAATAATATTTTCTTATAGTTTCTATATCATATCATAAACTGGAATCTTTAAGCTCCAATTTAACATACATATCATATCGTGATTCTTAAAAACACAGTCTATATGATTTTTAAAAAAGTTCGCTTCATTTGCTGTGTACATAAAGTAATGGATAAATTCGTTAAAAATTTAGAGGATATTCTTTCAGAAACACGTTCGGATGTTTATGTTACTTTTTATAACGCGCGTTTTTTGAGAAGGTATCTCAAAATTGAGATACGACCAACAGCAAATGCTTAATTTATTCTATTTGCGTTTTGTAGTGTTGTTTTTTTGAGACTTAAGGTTCATAATGCAGGGTAGGGCAGTCAATCCGCACTACACTGTCACGTCACCTTAGACTTGAGATATTTCCATAAAAAATAGTCATATGAGCTCAGGTATGGCGATCATGGAGAGACAGTTCGGAAAAAATTCTTTAAGAAGTTCGGTGTACCTCAACTGTGCTATTCTGTGTGAAATATGCTATTCGAAGATATCGCACATCAAACTGTAACTTTGGCCGAATGGAGAGGTTATTCCTGAAGTTGATGAGGGCCGTCAGAAATGAGTTATGACGCTGTGCAGTTCTTTGAGGACTTCTTACACTCGTACAGTCTCTATATTATCGGAAGACCTAACAGTTCTTGCACTACCACCTCTTTTTCTTATAGTTTAGCCCATTAATCATCTTTTTTTAAGTTAAGAGTCCAAACAGAAATGGCTTATCTACTCGGAACAGGAGCATGAGGCGGTAAATGAAAATGTCGGCGGAATTCGGACTGTGCTTGCACATGATTAACCATTGTCTAAATAAGGTGTAACAGCAAAAATACGTTGTTTTACTGTATTCTCACCTTATTATTTTTTCATTTTTTTTTAATTTTTCTAAGAAATTTCAAAATAGCATTACAACTTGTCTCGTTGTATTTTTGATGAACGGCCTCGACAAATTACACGCTGACAATTCGTAGGGGAGTTATAACCGCCAATTATTGTCCGGGTGGTAGACGACGTCTATGAGGGAAAAAGGGAAAATCTATCGGATCGAAACTTTATTAAATTTACATAGAATCGCATGGACGACGGCGAACAAAACTTGTTTCCTCCATCACCTGTTTTATTACTACACGTTCATGACAATTGCAGTATTAATATTTATACAGGTTGCGATCGGAATCATAAAAAAAAGTACACGAGTTTCAATTTAAATCGGTCGATAATTGCTATTTCTATGCTAAATAAATATTTTATTATGTATTACAAATTATAGATTTGAAAGGGATTATTATGCCAACAAAGTACTTACTTTAGCTTCAAATTCTGTAGCTTGTGTTAAATCTCTTGGAAATCCATCAACAATTACACCTTCAGCACCAACGTTGCCCAACACGTGTGATTCAACCATCCTCATTACGATATCATTTGGTACTAAATCTCCATTAGATATGCTTTCTTTTATTGTTCTTGCTTCACTTCCACCGACTTTTTTATCACTATCTTCTGCAGCTATTCGAAGTAATTTACCCATGCTAACATGCATCCATCCGGTATCTTTAGCTGCTTGTTCGCATAACATCGCTTTATTACTTCCAGGTCCACCTAAAACCCATAAAACTGGTGGAGCATCCGTTGGTCGATGAGGAATATTTCCGTTCATTGATAAAACTTGGGTTTCTGGTCGAATTTGAGATGCTGGTCGAATTTGTGTTATTTTTGCTGGAACAGCAGGAAGTTCTGTTGTTGTAACGTCGTTTGGTAACGAAGCTTCCGGTCCGTTACTAAACACCGGTGGGTTATCTTGAGTTCCCAATATCTTCATAACGGCCGATTTAAAATCTTTGTAAACTTCTTGGGGATGTCGTTCGCCGTTTACCGAAATCAACATATTATTTTGATCGAAATAATCAGCAACAGGCATAACTTGTTTATAAAAATTATTTAATTCCATTCTTGCTAAAGATAAAACAACCTGTCCCAATTTCGCGCCGTAATCTATTTGACGTTCTAAGACTTTTTGTCGCCAAGAAATCAAAATAACACCGTTTATTATTTGAATTTTTTCTGAATATTCAACGACATCGCGCATATTTCGTGGATAACCGGAAACCAAATAAGTTTTTGCCGTTGGAGCCATTTTCATTTCTAACATAAGAACTTCTGTTACAGTTTTACTTGATAATTGACTAAAATCTTGCATATCTAGAATGATGTAAACCCCAATTAATATTAATAAAATAATTGTTTTAAATGAGTTTTATGTGTGTTAGATTAAGTGTTTATTGTTGTTTTAATGTGTTTAGACATCGAGATTATATCTGGAATCATATTATTATCCACATCATTTTAAAAGTGTAGGACAATAGAAAGCCATATTGAATGCTTCAGTTTAGCAGAAATATGGAACAACAACGTTTTTCTTCAAATACAAGTTCGAATTGTTTCATTTAGCCAAATGAATTAATTGTAGAAAGTTAAATAAAGGTAGTTCGTGACCAGAAATAAACCCGATGAGCGACACGACCCATCAAATTAAAACTGTTACCCGATATCGACCTAATAATTCGTGTGCGTCATGTTAAGAGATATTGCATTCATCATGCACGTATTTAATCCTAGAAAAATAATTATATTGTGATGTACGTAAAAGATAATTATACGTAAAATTAATCTATGAGCTTTAAATAGCTTTAATCTCAAGTTTTTTCAATGTTAATCGCCATCCTCATAAGTGTTTCTTATCTTCAACTGCAGCACATGTAGATGTTGTATTCTAAAAATAGATACATCTTTAGTGTTTCCTATTGCAACATATGACTCAGAATTCTGAACTACATATGCTGCATGCCGAAGGAGGCTTAATTTAATCTTTTGAAATGATATGTTGCCAAAGAATGTTGAGAATACCTTGTACTGAGAAGAACTAAAAATACGCGATAATGAGAGATTAGTACCAACAATCCAGTGTGGTATACTTCAATATTTCGGTCATGCAATACGGAAAGACGGCATGGAAAAACTAGTGATACAGAGGAAAGTTAATGGCAAAAGGTCAAGAGGCAGGTGAGATATACAGGCTGTATCAGGTATGAGTAGAAAAAATTTGAGGGGCTATAGGTGTCCTCTTTCTGAATAAAAAATTCTTATAACACAATGTCCCATTCTTTATCCTTCTTAAGATATGATACGATAAAGTGAACAAGTTTGAGTACTACTGGTTAATGAATTATACTAGGCAAGCTTTGCTTTGCAATTTGTAATTTGTCTCTAATTTTGTAATTTTGTTGTTTTTAATACAACAAGCAAGTTTATTTATTAAAACCTAAATTTTTGTAAATTTTCACATTGAAGAGTGATAAAACAGAAGTGATGAATTTCTTATAAAGTAAATATAATTATAAAGTTAATTTCGTATAAAGTAAACAACCTCTAAAAAAATATCTCAAATAAATATGCAAAGCCTGCGTAGTATAATTCTTTATACAACAGTACTTAAACTCTCAAACCCTTAACTTTATCGAATCATATCCTAAGAATGGAATATTGTGTTATAAGAATTTTTTATTCACAAAAAGGGGAACTACAACCACTCAAATTTTTTCTACTCATACCTGATACACCCTGTATAGACTAGTGATGGAACGGATAGTGATTTTGTGAGAAGCCGGAACCAGATATTCGGCATCCCCTTCGGCCGGATATCCGGTTATCCGGCATATCTATAATTATAATCTATCTAATAATTTCTGGTACATCTCTGAAGACATTCAGCCACATTATTGTGGTATTTCGATAAAAATGAAATTAATAACAAAGCTGACAAGATATGTCAACTTATTTGGATGCAAGATAAAAAAAAACTTTTTTAATGCTGATTTAACTAGCGAAACAACTCTAAAAAAGGACACTTTAATTAATAATTGGTGATATATCCACAAGGATCCTTCAAGAAATGAATTTTATAGCGAATTTTGAAAGTTATCGATGAAAATTGCAATATCGAAAATTTTATCAAAACTTCAAATATTGTTTTCTCAAAAACTAAAAGTTATTTTTCAAAACGTGTTGGTTCATTGGAAAGAGGACACTCTTATTAACACTTTGAGAAATTTTCGTACTCATATTCCAAGAAATGGATTTAATATGAATTTTTAAAAGTTAAACGGCGCAAAATGTAAATTTCGAAGAAATTGTCGATTATTTCAAAATTTTTTTTCTCAAGAACCAAAAATGATTTTTCAAAACGGCTTTTTGCATTAAAAAGAGGATACTTCAATTAATAATTGGTGATGTTTCCACAAGGATCGTTCAAGAAATTAATTTTATAGCGAATTTTGAAATTTGCAACATCAAAAATTTTATCAAAATTTCAAATATTGTTTTCTCAAAAGGTAAAAGTTATTTTTCAAAACGTGTTGGTTCATCGGAAAGAAGACACTTTTGTTAACACTTTGGGAAATTTTCATACTTATGTTCCAAGAACTGGATGTTATACGAATTTTTAAAGCTAAATAGGCGAAAATTGCAAAATTTGAAAGAATGGTCGATTATTTCAAAAAATTATTTCTCAAGAACCAAAAGTGATTTTTCAAAACGGGTTTTTGCATTAAAAAGAGGATACTTCAATTAATAATTGGTGATATTTCCACAACGATCCTTCAAGAAATTAATTTTATAGCGAATTTTGAAAGTTATCGATGAAAATTGCAATATCGAAAATTTTATCAAAACTTCAAATATTGTTTTCTCAAAAACTAAAAGTTTTTTTTCAAAAGATTTGGTTCATTAGAAAGAAGACACTTTTATTAACACTTTGGGAAATTTTCATACTTATATTCCAAGAACTGGATTTTATACGAATTTTTAAAACTTAATCGGCAAAAATTGCAAAATTCGAAAAAATTTTCGATTATTTAAAAAATGTATTTCTCAAGAACTAAAAGTGATTTTTCAAAACGGCTTCTTGCATTAAAAAAAGGATACTATAATTAATAATTGGTAATATTTCCACAAGGATCCTTCAACAAATGAATTTTATAGCGAATTTTGAAAGTTATCGATGACAATTGCAACATCTAAAATTTTATCAAAACTTCAAATATTGTTTTCTCAAAAACTAAAAGTTTTTTTTCAAAAGATTTGGTTCATTAGAAAGAAGACACTTTTATTAACACTTTGGGAAATTTTCATACTCATATTCTAAGAACTGGGTTTTATACGAATTTTTAAAACTTTCGGCGAAAATTGTAAAATTCGAAAAAATTTTCAATTAATTAAAAAATTTATTTCTCAAGAACTGAAAGTGATTTTTCAAAACGGCTTTTTGCATTAAAAAGAGAACACTTTAATTAATAATCGAAATCGATAAGAGCGACAGTTCTGTTAGTAATGAATGTGATGATGAATTACTAGCGTAGAGAAGAAAACTAGACGAAACTGCAACAAGAGATTTTATATATCGTATTGGGATTATTACAATGAGGTTGCTAATGAGAAATAAAGTTGTATTCAATAAAAAAAGTCCTATTGGGGTTGAACTTGATTATTATCTGCAGTGTCCAACACCTAAAAGAGATACTAATTCCTGTAAATGGTGGAGTACTAATTGTAAGTAATAGGTTTTTAATAGCCGGCCAATATTCGGTATTGGTTTTTAAAAAATGGCCGGATAGGCCGGATACCGGATATCCGTTCCACCACTAATTATTAACATGTTTCAGGATTTAACCCAGCGGATTCAAATCCTGAAACATTTTAAATTTGACACATTTAACATGATGGCTTTTATCTCAGAAATAAAAAACTGTGGATATAAATGGTATTAATAAAAATTGTTCATAATACACTACAAAAACATAATCCATAAAAAAATGTTGTTTAAGTATTTCGCCTTTTCAGTTATAAGCCATAAAATCCCTATGTCTCTAAACTGACGGTTTTGGATAATAATTCTTGTTAAAACTCTAATCTAAAAATCCTAGGAGAAAATGTTGTGGATGAAAAGAATTTGAAATGAGCCATGAAAACGGTATTTGCAGGTGATTATAACTGANTCCGGCCAAACCCGGATAGTTGCCGGATATCCGTTCCACCACTAATATAGACCAAGTAAAAAATCTGACACAGATGTTGGTTTCCCAAGTGATCCATACCATAGAAAATGATGAAACCTCCATGAATACCATCCAAAAATAGTCAATTACTTGTTTTAGTAATTTACTTTGTTTTTTTTGGAGAAATCCCAATCATTGTACCAAACCGGAGCTAATTTGAGCTAATCAAAATTCAACAATTGTTTATGTTGAATTTTGATAACTTCAAGTTCAATATGGCTTCTAATCACCTCAAAACATGCTTTCCAGATACTTAAATTAACCTCGACAATTCTCCTATTTATTCTAAGTGTTCTAATCGTGTGTTTTCTTTGTGTAATTTATGTTCTAATGTTTTATGTAAATCAGGAATTTCACAATATATGTTACTAATTCAATATAAAAACAGCTATTATTTACATAGCCACACCAACAAATATTAAAAAAATCAAACCAACATTTGTCAAAATCTTGTTACCTTTAGGTTTGTGTACTGATATTAAACTGTTGTTACACCCATCTATTAATAAAAAATTGTTAAGTGTCTTTTTGTAGTATAAAATGTTTAAAATTTTTGGGTTTATACAAAAACAAACTCTGTTTTCATGCTTAAAAGAACAAATTTATTTTTACTTAATTTTCATCAAAAAATTGCTTAATTAATAAAAAATCCGACTTAAAGAATGATAAGCATTAAACTTTTGAAGTTTACTGTGGCATTCCGAATCTAACCGATTATAATTCAAGAAAACATACAACATCGATCCAAAATCATCCAAAGTTGAATCGCTCAAACATTCCAATTTGTTCCATTGAAGTTCAAGTCTTGCCAAACGGTGTAAATCTCTAAATGTATGATCGTAAATCGTTTCGATTGCGTTTACGGCAAGATTTAATCTTGTTAAATGTTCCAACCCGACGAAAGCATCTTCGTTGATCGACTCAATTCCATTTTGATTCAACTCCAATTTTCTTAATCCACGGATGTTTTTGAAAGCATTCGCTGGAATATTTTTAATATGATTCCTTGAAAACGAAAGGTGTTGAATCGAAGTTCCTCTAAACCAATCAGGATTTATGTAAGTTAAATTATTATTTTTTAATACAACATCTTGTAAAAGAAACATGTTATCGAAAGCTTTTGTTTCGATATAATTGATTTGATTTTCTTTAAAATCGATTTTCGAAATTCCCAAATCGTTGAAAACGCCGTATTTAATTTGCGAGATGTTATTTTCAACTAAATTGATTCTTTTTAATTTTGGTAAATTTTTAAAACAGCCAGGTTTTAATGTTTCTAAACCGACTTTTTTTAAAGAAAGCTCTTCTAAGTTGGGTAAATCGGAAATATCACCAATTTCCAAAGTATTTATAACTGTATCGTAGATTTCAACTTTCTTAAATTCCACCAAATCTTTAATTGTAACATTTCTTAAGTGGTGTTTCTTTGTATGTTCAACTGAATCGTGAACACGAACGTTTAAGTTGATTAATTTGGCTTGAATCAAGCCGAGAACACACACAAAGATGATAATGATGAGCTTCATTTTTAAAGCTTCACTAAAACGTTTGTTGCAGTTTTTCGTATTTAAAGCGATTTTTTATCTTGGATAAGTCATAATCACGAGATTTCTTAATCGAAAGGAATATGCCATTTTAATTTAGAAGAAAGTTTAAGGTTTATCGTAAATCGCCTCATATATGTAATTATTATAAGAGTTGCAATTAAATTTTTAATAAAAAATATTGTGATTAAGAAATTCTTTAAAAAAATATATTTATCAATAATTATGTTTTCTTATCTTGTTGTGTTTTATATAAAAAATATTTTGATATTGTTTAAATCAGAGTTTGTTTAAATATAACTTAGCCCATAACGAGTAACTAAAAGTTGTTTTTTTTTTGTATTTGGAACTTACCGTTGCCGATTGCGTATTGTTGAAGCAAATCCGTCATGTTTATATGTACAATTCCATATTTTTCTTGCATTAAATTGTCGCAATGTGTTACCTTCCCACTTCCAGGTCCACCTAAAAATTGAAAATTGAATAATATTATAAGAAAATAAGTGTAAATACATGAAGATATGTTCTTTATCTACAGCTAACTTTTTTGTATTGTTGTAGAGAATGATGTTAATAAAAACTGCCACAAAAACATTTACAT